ATCGCAACTGACCTTTCCGTCTCGTCTATAACAGTATTCAGGTCAAACGTTCAGTCTGAACCTAATTTTCAGCCAAACATCGACAATGCATTTACTAGGCTTAGAGTTGCCAAAGTAACTTGGTTTTCTCTTGAGTACTTAATTAAGTGACATAAGACTTAAATTTTTAGGAAGATAACAAGACCACAAAACTGGTACATTATAGCTAAATTTAATAAAAACATGTTTCAGTAAGTAAGTAAAATGTTTTTTAGGTTGGTATTATTCGTCGAATCAGTCAGCCTCACCTGTTAATTGAGCTGATTGTAAGCCGACACATGCGTACTGCCTTCAGAACGGGTCCACTCAAACTGTTGTGGTTCTTTCCTCAAAAGGCCACTACAGGAAGAAATTGCACGGTTCTCACACATAACACACACATACGTATTTGTCTGCACTTTAAGCCTTTGACTGCCGACAGAAAACTGCTGAAGGCAAATCCTCCGCTAACATAGGTCACCGGTGACATACGTGGCGGTTAACGTGTTAAAAGAGACAGGACCTCTGAGTTTGTTTCGGCATTTTTCTCAGAGTAGTCAGCTAGGAAATGTCGTGTGTTGTGTTTGTCTCATAAATTGTGAAAATGTTGTTTTAAACATTTTCACAATTTATGAGAGTTTTATTCATAGTTGTATGACATAATTAAACGGAACAAGACTAAATTCTAGAATTTAAATAATTTTGAAGAGTTTTTGATAATCGGGGCAACTTTATAATTTGTTGCTCGACCTACAAATCAAGATATTAGTTATAAATAGACAAAAGGTACCTAAATGTTTATAATTATTTGTATGTTTTTGTGTATACGTGGTTTGTTGCCGCCATCTTAGTTTAACCATGTGACTATTGCCTATTTTTTATATATATATGTATATCGGCGCAAATAGTTTAATAAGTTTATTCAGTAATTAAAAAGTGTCTAAAAATTATGTAATCATCATTGTTAAATTCAATAAAATAAGGAATTACGTTTATTAGCAAAACTTTGTAAACAACACGTGTGCTGCCACATGAGTCACGTGTTGACTGCAATAAATAGCGGCGACGGAACGAGTGGTAAGCATTCTTACTTAAGCCGTTCGTAGCGATCGGACCTCCTCAATGATTTGAAGAATAAATTGAAAGTACTTGCAAGTGTTTGTTTCAATCATTCAACATGAGCGGAAATCCTGACCAGGAAATTAAGTGACGTCAGCAATGCTGACGCTACGTTTTTTAAAAATATCCTCGAGGACTCTGCTTCGCCAACGACCCTTCTTCGTTATATATATATTTGATGGGGTGACGTCTATATACTGAAACGCTACTCAAGATTCAAAATCGCGCTTATATATAGTTCAAAATAAAATTGAGTACATTTCGGTATTCGGGCCTTAATCTACATCTTAGACAAATATACCAAATAAGACATTCCGAGTCTCTTTTTCAGGGTAAAATTACCTGCAATGAATTATTTAGTGACACAGTTTGAACTCGACTGTTTGAAAGTCTGGGCCGCCATGAAATATTTTGGGACTTGTTTACTAGCCTGAGTCGAGACCCATTTGGACGATTTATGTTAAAATAATGGTTATAAAAACCAGGTGTCTGACTCAATATATTTTCAGTTTTTTGTACTTATGTTAATTTTTGGAAATATTTTTCTTTATTTTGCTGTTCAAAGAGTATGAATAAATAGACTTAAAATGTTAAAATATTTGTGTTTCGTATCCATTTTTTCCTGATCATTATGTAAATTTCTATGTATTCAAATTTAGGATTTCAGGGTAAATAATGATTTCATGCGAAAAATGCTCTGCCTCGACTGCCTTGACTGTCTCGTTTTTCGGGTTCGATTCCCGGGTCGGGCAAAGTATTACTGGGTTTTTTTAAAAATTCTCAGTAGTAGCACGGAGTCTGGAACTGTGCCCGGTATATGAAAATAGGCTCACCCCCTGTTACATGGGACTCGTAACATAATTAGTGAAAAGTGGGTGTTACATTGTACAGTGGAATAATGTGCACCTCTGCCTACCCCTTCGAGGATAAAAGGCGTGATGTTATGTTAGGTTATGTCATGCGAAAAATTTATAGTAACAAAAAAAAATTGGTATCCTATTTTACGTAACAATTTTAGCCACATATTTGTGAACATGTTTTCAAGGATATTTTTGGTAGAGAATAAAATATTTGAAAATATAAATTTTGCGATGTTTCCATACAAAAATAACCTTGGGTTAGGGATGGGGTGTGCAGTGGACCGGCAGTCCTGCTTACGGTACGTTTATTCTCAGAACGATATTAAAGCTTTACTCATATATTCCATGTTACTCATAGTCATGGTAATGTGGAGACTGGTAAGATAATTTTAAAAAAAGTCCTTCATTGACATCGAAAGCTAATCTTTAAATTTCATACCTAATGAATCTGAAACACATACTGTTTTTCATGTTATTTCTTGTTTTTAATTATTATCCAATTTTTTATATTTATTAGGTTAATTTTCAGTTGTAAATACTTTAGTTTTTATTTATCTCAGCCCTAGTTATTCATAATTTAGTTTAGATTTATGACATTGCAGTGATATATTTGTAATGAATAAATTAATATGCAATGAAATAAAAAATCTGAATCCATAACACACACATAAATATCTAATAGCTCTTTGAAATTAAATTATTTTGTACATATTAATTACTTTTCTTATTCAACAATTATCAATTTTCTGTTTCAGGAAATTTGATTAAACATTCCCATCTTCTTAGAAAAAAACCTAAAATGATTTTCAATATCAAGTAAACTCAGTTACCGAAATCATAAGATCGAATTTCGATAGGAACTTTTGAATTCTGCTTCCTCCGAAGGTTCTAATAACAAGATACAATATTGTAAACAAAATTCGACTTTGGAAGTCTTAGGGAAGTTTAATTAAGGCCCAAATCTTTGCTTCTTCCGTGATGTTGATATTTTTTGTTTAGCACAGAATTTACACACAAACGAATATTTAATCATCGGACTGTCATATTAAGCAAGCATTATTACAATCAATATTTTATATTCACACAAAAAAATATTGATCTGAATATTTTAGTGTAATTTTATGGTAAGCCATTGTTCTATATCATAGGTGCATTTATAGAGTATTTTATACTATACACACGACACACTTTATCATAGAAAAACAATTTGTAAATCACACGAAGGATTGTTCCACGTAGAATTCATATAACAAGAGAAGCACTCGTGAACGATTCTATTTTGTTTTTGTATTTGATTTTAAGACTTTGACTGCCAATAAAAAACTGTTAAAGGTAAATCCTCCGCTAACGCCGGTCACCGGTGACCCCCATGGCGTTTAACGTGTTAAGGATAAAATGCATCGAGGAACTGCTTTGTCCTAAAAGAGTATTGACTATTAAACTGTCAAACACCAAGCGGTCACCGGTGACCGCAACCTATTGTTCTATAATTGTGTCTACAAAACCGGTACTCGACGAGTTAAAATGGTGAAGTCTTTAAGTTTTTACTAAGAATTCGAGTATTATACTACCTACTAGGAATAGCTAGCTTAACAGTTATCAATTTTATGTCAACTTTCATGTCATTAGCATCATTTTGATTTATTTGAACCGTCGTTATGCCTGAGTCATCTTTTTAATATCTTAGGCTCAAAACTATTCAGCTCCCTTAGTATTCAATTTTTCTGAAGCAAAAATTATGGTAGGAGTTTTTAAGGTCGCTTTTTACGGATACCGATCTTTCATGTATTATAATATTATTACTAGAGATAGTATTATCTTTAATCAACCGTCTTAGTTTACATCAATTGCAGCTCTCAATTAATTGGTTTTAGTTTACAATCTGATGTCTGATCTGTGATGTGTATTGTGTACAGTGACGTCACAATCGATCAAATATCTGATACAGACCTATTGTTGATATTGACCGGTCGTAAAAGTTACCATTTTTTTATTTTTTTTAAGGGGGAAATATCATCGAATGACTGCTCCTGCCTGGATGAAGCGGGAGGGAGTGTCAGACTCTTATTGACTAAAAACCACCCCGTTCCTTCTCCTGCATATCGAGCCGGAGCCCCAGTAACCCGTTAGGTTCTCCGCGATTCCGAATCGGCATCGGCCCAGTTGGGCCCCATCTGTGGTGGTCTGATGGTTACCTTAGCATGTCGTATAGGGTAACTGTGTATTATATTTACCTTGTTTAGTAATTCTTTTAACAATCTTACCCCAATGACAATGATATTTTGAGAATAAAAAATACATTTTACCCCTTTTGGACCTAAATAAAAACAATAAATAATAATAATTTTTTTAATACCTTTTTAATGTACTCAATGACATGACGCCCACAAACTAATATCAGCAAACAAAAAACAAAATATTTACCAAGCCTATACGCATTATACGCTAGGCAAATATAGGATAGGATAAGGGCTAGATTATCTATGATAGTGTAGGATAACGTTAGCTAGTAGTAATTAGGATAAGATAGTCCTGTACAGTAGGGTTTTAGCGCCAAGCTACTATTCCGCTGTACTGTCCTTGAACAGGGACAATGGGCTCATGTGTGGTACTATTCGAAATGGCAACTGTTTTCGATACGTAAAGTTCTAACGCATTATTTGCATTGATATCACAGTTTTTATGGCGAACTGTGTGTCGCAACAAAATGTATGGGGAAAGTGTCCAAATCCATCTGATGTGACGTAAAAATGTTTTTAGTAATATAGATATGTAGTTAATTTATTGGTTTTTTTTTATTCTATTAAGTTATTATATTTATTTCAGTCTATTAAGAAGACACAAATAGTATCATGTAAAGTTCAAAGTTTTTAAATTAATATGTACTAAATTGTATTTTTAAAACGCTTTCCCATAACAAAACCCTTTAATCGTATTCTTCTTAAGAAAAAGTTTCCATTTTTTGCTGTAAACCTGAAAATACATAACACAAAGTGCACTTACCTGAGTATGTGAATAGAACATAGAGAAGTTGGACACAATGACAGGCACAGGTAGAGCGATAGTCAGCACACCAGCCAACGCGCACAGAGCCCCCACGAACATACCCAGGTACGTCTTGGGGGCCATGTCCCCATAACCGACGGTGGTCATCGTCACGATGGCCCACCACAGCCCCAAGGGGATGGACTTGAATTGATTGTCAGGGTTATCCTGTGAACAAAGTAATGGAGCTTTTTAGATGTGTATAAATTATGTGTGAAACACTTTTTAGGGATTATAAAATACATAGACATAATATGAGTAATTATTGATTCACATATTTTTATTTTTAGTTAATTTTAACCTACAAGGCTTATGACCGTTTTCATCATTTACTTCCTAACAATCTCTTAGCTAAGAGTAGGTAACTAAACGTGAGGTAGCATCTATATAAGCCCTTTTCTTTTTCTGTTATTTCTGTTAGGTATCATTGATTGTTTATATAGAAGAGGGTGGTAAAAAAGGCATTAAACTATGTATCTTCATCAAATCAATTGAAGACATGAGTTGATGAAGGTGATATGATATGTTACTGGTTCATATGTTATCAGGAACAAGTCTTAAAGTTTATTAAGTTAAGTTTATTTATTATTTTGCGACTACCGACCTCCTGTACATATTCATACACCTTCATTTACATCTTCATTTTTAGACATATTTCAATAATGCTTAAAAGAACAAAATTCGTGTAACGACATGGCATCTTCATTTATGCTATGAAATAAAAAAGATATAATGAGACATATCACTTCATCCACTCATGTCTTCAATTATATTTAAAACATAACGAACACAGAAATCTTACGCACTTAAAACACCCTTAAAAAGAATTTAGTCTCATAAAATTATTTGAAAAATCCGGATAAGACCAGTCAGTAACATTTAGTGTTACACGAAAAGATAGTCTAATTTCCTCAACAGTCTCAGAGGGAAGGTTTAAATTAAAACAAGTCGGACCGCGAATAATTGTATTACAGAAATCACTGAACCGATTTTAAATTAATTAATCGTAGTAATTAAAAACTCTTAGTAAAGTCAATATCTGTACCTCATTTTAACTCTGGATTCTCGACTGTAAAATAATTAAATTTATTCTTGATCACTGACCCGTTTCATGAGTTAAATATAACCTCTTTGCGGTTGTGTATAAGGTTCATTATTAACACTTACTAGCCGACAGGGTTTGTGTCGTTTTATGAATGTAAAGTTACGCCTGTTTGCATCAAGTGGGTAAGTAGTGGTATACTCAAATTATGTCTAGTGTTCATCACTTTGATATTGGGTGTGCTTGAATGGCCGAAAACGCACTAAGAAATGCAAGGGCTAAGTTAAACGTCTTGGATCATGGATTATTCGGAGCGGTAATGAGATCATAGCGCAATCATCATTTAATTATAATAAAATTATTATTATTAGTCAGAGTTGTCGCGTCGCTCGATAGATGGTGTTAATATCGAGAAAGATCGCGTTATGGTTTCGTTACATCAATTTGGTTAGGTCCTCGTCAAATGTGTTGTCAAGTAAAACCAGCACCCCTAGCGGGAAAACGAACTAAAGGTAGTGAATAAAAAGAGAAATAACAGTGGTGTTTGTGTTGTTTCTCCAAATCTCTCGGAAGCCGACCCTCTGTCTTCATCATGGATCATGCCTGGTAAATCTGGAAGATCTGGGGGTTCATCATGACACTAAGCTCACTTTTGAGGCTCATGTTAATGCCATTGTTGCTAAAGCTTCAAAGTCATTGGGCTTCATTATGCGACTATCTAAGTGCTTCACTCAATCAAAAACTTTAAAAATTCTATACTGTACTTTTGTTAGAAGTCACTTGGAATATGCGTCTGAAGTGTGGAACCCGTGTTATCACAAGTACATTGATCGTATTGAAAATATCCAGAGGAAATTCATCAAGTATCTGTGCTATCACCAGGGTGTCCCATACCGGTCTGAAGATTACTACAGTCTCTGTAAGAAATATCACATCCTACCGCTTAAGGACCGCCAAGCAATAAGAGATTGTACCCTATTAATTAAAATCTTAACAAATAATATTGACAGTTGCGATATTCTAGCGAGATTGTTTCTCAATGTTCCTGGAAGGTCGAGGATATGGTTTCCATAGCTACGTGTTCCATCCTCCTCTACCAATTATAGGCAAAACTCGTATTTTGTGCGTGCAATTAAGGAATTTCTGTTAAATTCCGTGTGCAAGGAGCGTGATTTTGACCTTTTTAATATTAAAGTGTCTACGGTCAGGAGGTGCCCGGGCCTTTCTTTTTTTATGTAGTAACATAATAGGGAACGCGATTGAACTGATATTTTGCGAGGTAATTTGTCTGTGTAGTATTCAGATGTGTAGTAGTAGGTATATATTAGTAATTTAGTACTTTGTTTCTTTTTATTTTGTTTTGTTTGTTTTTATTATTATAATAATTTTGTAGGGAGTACTGTGTCGATCACATTCTTTTATAGTATTAGTTTGTTTTTATATGTGAAGACTTGTCATTGGCTGTCAGACTCTCACACAATTTCTTAATTTTTATTTTGTTAGCTGTTAGTCTTCCAAAGTTGTTAAATAAATAAATAAATAAATAAAAAATAAAATCAAGATATTCTCTTAAAATGTTCCTAAAAGATATCCTCTTTAAAAGTACTCTCTTATAAGATTCAACTAACTACAAGAAATAGAAATCTTTCAAAAATATGGATCGAAGTGTTGCAATCCTGGATACATTTCATTCCAAAGATTATAACATAACATAACAGCACGCCTTTTATCCTGAAGGAATAGGCAGAGGTGCATATTATCTATGGCACTTAATGCCACTGTACAATGCAACACGCACTTTTCACTATTTGTGTTATCGCAATCCATATACCGGGCACAATTCCAGACTCTGTACTCAGAGTTTTAAAAAGCCCAGTAATACTTTGCTCAACCCGGGAATCGAACCCTAGACCCCTTGCCCAGCAATCGCACTTGCGACCACTCGGCCAATGAGGCAGTCATTATTTACACATATTATATTATTACTTTTTGTTATTTAACAATTATCAATTTGATTTTTCAGGTACTGAGATTTTTTAAAAACCCAGTAATCCAAAGTTGATATAAAACAAAATAAACACAAAAAACAAGCACGTAGTTCAATTTCGGAAGTGGTATCACACGATCTGACGGGTTCTTGTTAATAGACCTTTATTATTATAACAGTTATAACCTTATTATTATTATAACCTTCTTCCACATAAAGCCCTCCAATCTTATACCATCATTTCAAAACATATCTACGATCAAGGCACGACTATTATCTCCAAAATAAACACGAGCGCTCAAAAGAAGGCAGAATTAGATTATTCGTTGACGCACCTGCGTATATTGCCCTTTCGATTACAAGACCAAAGAGATTGCGAGGAAATTGACATCTAAACGAAAAAAGGATAGGACGTACATTTGGGACTTAAATGTATACAGCGACTTATACAAAGCTAGTTTGTCATGATCTGCCTTTGTACGATCATTTCGCACACTCGAAGGTCAATTTATATTGGTTTTGTATATCTTGACGTGCAGCTCTGTACATACAAAGAGGACCAGCCAAATCATGGCCGGAATTGGGCTTAGATCCTTTTGTTGTTTGAAGATTGTGATCCTTACCTATTTGTTGGTAAATATAGTGTTGGTTCAGGAAACTGTTTATCAGGAACTTGTCAGGGTGGATGGTGGTTGATTTGAAGTGGAGGTTTGTGTGTAGTTTGTTATTGTCATATGCCAGCAGCTTATGTTTATGACGTCCTGTCAGGGTTTTAAACTAGTTGAACCACCTCTTAGAACAGTTACGTGAGTTAGATATTGCCATAAGGCATTAAAAATAATAACCTTACTCTTTATATATAATCGTTCTAGTAGCTTCTAATCCATTTATGCATCTGATTACTTTTCAATCAGTTTAAGATAAAACGTTCTTTGTTCGTTGTAATATTGCAGTTTAAAAATATTTTAAGTATAAATGTTGTCCAATAAAAATAAAAATAAGAAATACATCGTACTTTTTACTAAAGGTTTTTAATCACAGAATAAAATGTAGCAAAACAACTGTTTAATAGTAAAAATCCAATCCTGTTTCACTAAGAAATTAAACATAGAAAATGGTGTATTTTCCAACTGGAATTAAAATCAATTTGCTGCGAAGTTCTAGTGAGAAAAATGTTAGAAAAACATCATACGTTCACAGCTTGTAATGGAAAGATAAAAAGAAAATATTGCAGTGTATCGAAAACTTATTTATTTTACAAACAAGATTAGAAAAATGTGAAAAGCTATAACATATTTTTTTTGTTAAAAGAAATCAAATAGTAGTTTAAATAGAAGTAAGCAAATATACGTATACGTCGGGGCCGTGGAGAACTTTACGGGTTGTCGGGGCTCCGGCTCGAAGTGCAGGAGTAGGAACGGGGTGGTTTTTAGTCAGTAAGAGTCTGACACTCCCTCCCGCCTCACCCAGGCGAAAGAGAGTCATTCAAGGATTTTTCCCTCCTTAAAAAAATATACGTATACTTATAACTCATCGTAAGTATCGTTTGTCAGGAATTTTAAATCAGAGAAAATCGCATAATGATTAATCTAACATAAAAAAAATAAACAGAAAGCCTGCCAGTTCAATCTTTACAAGATTTTTCCTGTTACCTCAATGTAACAAACTTGGAAATAATTTGCACCAAAACTCTACCGTTCTGTGTAGCTTATTGCATTATTTAGTTGCAAATATTCATATAACAAAAGCGAGAAGAGAAAACTCATACATATGTATTGGGTATGTAATATGTGTAGCTGAAACCTTGTAATAAAACGAACGCATTGAAAAAAAATACATTGGCAAGCAAAATTTCAATACGGGCGCCATATTGGTAAAGTTTCGTAACGCATTCTTTGGGAATATAACAGCTGCGCGTTCGGTTTAAGTGATGTGGTGATATCGATAGTTTTATATGTATATACTTTGTGAAACAAATTCTTGACCAATGCGTATACATGTTGACAGTTAAATGTTACCAATGCGTTTTGCAAATTTCAGTTTCATTTATTTATGAAACAATTGACATTATACCTCAAATGTGTCCATAGCAATAAATTACATTGCAATATATTTTATATCAGTTGCAAAAGTGAAATA